GAGACGGCGATAAATAATAATAACAATAACAATAAAAATAATAATGGGAAGTGGATAATAAGGAGCAGCAGTGAATGAAAATGGCCAGTGGATAAGGTGCAAGTGATTGTATGTGCAAAAACAGCAGACTGCTGTGGTGTCCATAAAGTGTCCATAGTGTCCCTAAAGTGTCCATGGTGCAGTTTACTGTGAGCAGTGCTGGTTATGTAGCCTGACAGCAGCAGGCAGGAAGGACCTGCGATAGCATTCCTTCACACACTTTGGGTGAATCAGTCTATCGCTGAAGGAGCTCTCCAGAGCTTTTATCTCCTCCTGCAGAGGATGGGAGTCATTAGTCCTCAGAGCTTGGCTGTCATCCTCCTGTCTCCCACCACCTGCACAGAGTCCAGAGAGCATCCCAGGACAGAGCTGGCCTTCTTGATCAGCTTGTCCAGTCTCTTCCTATCTGCAGCCGAGACACTGCTGCCCTAGCAGACTACTCCGTAGAAGATGGCTGATGCCACCACAGTGTCAAAGAAGGTCTTCAGGAGCGCCCCCTGCACTCCAAAAGACCTGAGCCGCCTCAGCAGGTAGAGTCTGCTTTGGCCTTTCCTGTATTGTGCTGTTACGTGATCAGTCCAGTCCAGTTTATTGTTAAGATGAACACCCAGGTACTTATAAGATGTCACCATCTCAATGTCCTTTCCCTGGATGTTCACCGGTGTTGGGGGAAGGAGTCTGCGCCTGCAGAAATCCACCACCAGCTCTTTGGTTTTCCCTGCGTTGATCTGAAGGTGGTTCCTCAGGCACCAGTCCACAAAGTCCTGGCTCAGTTCTCTGTACTCCCTGTTGTCCCCATCTGTGATGAGGCCGACTATGGCAGAGTCGTCAGAGAACTTCTGCAGATGACTGGTGGGGGTGTGGTATGAAAAGTCTGCAGTGTAGAGGGTGAAGAGGAACGGTGCTAGCACTGTCCTTTGTTGGGCCCCCTTACTGCAGACATCCAAGTCTGATACACAATCCTGGGTCCTGACATACTGCGGCCGGTCCGTGAGGTAGTCCAGGATCCAGGATGTGAGGTGATTAGCCACCCCTGTGTGCTCCAGTTTGTCCCTCAGAAGTGCAGGCTGTATGGTGTTGAAAGCGCTGGAGAAATCAAAGAACATGATTCTCACAGAGCTTCCAGGCTTCTCCAGGTGGGAAAGAGCTCTATGCAGGAGGAAGATGACGGCTTCGTCCACCCCAGTGCCAGGCTGGTAGGCAAACTGCAGTGGGTCCATTGATGGGCCTACTGCGGGGCGGAGACGAGACAGGACCAGACGCTCCAGAGTCTTCATGAGGTGTGATGTTAATGCCACCGGTCTGAAGCTGCTGAAGTCCTTGGGGTGTGGAGTCTTGGGCACAGGTACCACGCAGGATGTCTTCCACAGCTGTGGTACTCTCCCCAGCCTCAGGCTCAGGTTGAAGATGGTTTCAACTATCCCGCACAGTTGGTCTGCGCAGGTCTTCAGGAGCCTGGAGCTGATGCCGTCAGGACCCGCAGCCTCCCTCGTCTTTATCCTCCTCAGCTGATCTCTCACCTGACAGGTAGTGAAGGACAAGCTGGAGCAGGGGGGCTGTGTGCTGGGGGGTGGAGGTGATGAGGTGGGGGGAGGAGTGGGGGTTGTGAGATGTCCGGGGGAGCGGGGGTGGGGGAGGTGTTGAAGCAGTGTGCCAGGAGTGTAGGTGGGGGGGAAGGTGAAGGTGAGGATGAGGGGGGTTGCAGCCGTGATGTCTGGGCCAGGGGAGGGGCAGACTGATCAAATCTGTTGAAGAATAGATTCAGATCATTCACCCACTGCTGGTCACCTCTGGCCTGGGAGTCTGGTTGTTTGCGTCCTGAGATGGTTTTCAGACCTCTCCAGACTCTGCTGACGTCGCTCTGCTGCAGCTGTTCCTCCATCTTCTTTTTGTATCCTTCCTTTCCCCGCCTGATGTTTCTCCATAGCTCCTTCTGCATGGCCTTCAGCTCCTCCTTATTTCCAGAGTTAAAAGCTCTCCGCTTTTCCTTCAGGAGAGCTTTTAACTCTGGAGTAATCCAGGGTTTGGTGTTGGAGAAGCAGCGTACAGTCCTGGTGGGTACAGTGTTTTCCACACAGAAGTTTATGTAGTCCATAATGCATGATGTCATACTGTCAATGTCCTCCCCATGGCAATCGCTGAGTACCTCCCACACAGTGGCCTCAAAGCAGTCTTTCAGGGCCTCCTCGGCCTCCTCAGACCACCTCTTCACAGTGCGGGTGGTTGCTGGTTCTCTCTGCACCAGAGGTTTGTAGACAGGCAGAAGATGAACCAGGTTGTGATCAGCTTTTCCCAGGGGGGGGGCAGGGGGATGAGTGGTATGCCTCCTTGGTGTTGGCATAAAATAAATCCAGTGTTTTATTGTCTCTGGTGTGGCAGGAAACATACTGGGTAAAGGTGGGCAGGGTGGTGGATGGACAGGCGTGGTTGAAGTCCCCAGAGATCAGAAGGAGGGCCTGAGGGTGCTGTGTTTGCAGCCTACTTGTAACAGAGTGGAGAATGTCACAAGCAGGCTCAGCTTTAGAAGACGGGGGGACATACGCTGCTACCATAATGACATGAGAAAACTCCCTGGGTAGATAATATGGTCTCATGCCAACAGCCAGCAGCTCAATGTCCCTGCAGCAATGCTGTTCCTTAATAGTGATGTGCCCAGAGTTACACCATCTATCATTCACAAACACAGCCAGCCCTCCTCCTTTCCTCTTACCGCTGCCTTTGCATTTGTCCTATCATGCTGCTGCATAAACAATAAGTAAACATTTTTATTATCATTTCGTCAGGATAACATTAAGAAACGGGGGAGCCTGTGTAGGAATGACCTATCAACACAATGTGTGCATTTGCAATGTGTGTTAAGTGGCAATAAAATATATTTCAGAGGACATGTCTGTACTTTCAACCACATTTATGATGGTCGCACATTCTGATGAATATGTCAGGTATGAAATATTCATCAGAATGAATAACTACAGTATATTCATCACTACAGTAACAGAGGTAGCAGTAGTACTCGGTGGTGTTAACAAACACATAAGGGAATTCATTTTGTGGCTTTTCAACATACCTATAATGGCATGGTCATAAAAGGTATTAAGGTGTAGGCCTGTTCACTGAAGGACAAAGTTTGGACAACTCACCTTACATACAAACGGACAAAGACGAAGAGACAGATACAGTATTTTACAGCTTTTTATTACAGTGGTGCACACATAAAACCAATGTTTCCATGGAGCGTTTCCCTGCGTCATCTGCGACCCTCAATGTAACAGTTTACGACAACAAATACTCACAATGCAGGTATTTTCAGTTGTGTTAAGACAGGAACTGACATTTTAAAGTTTAGTCTGTCTTGTTATTTGATTAAATACTTTTCACATCACATGGAGGAGACCCTTCCCTTCTGGCACCCTTCAAAGGGTTACAGCCACTGTTACACTGTTTGACTGAAGGTTAACATGGCAGCTTGCTGTTAGGAGTATATGCTGATATGCAGGTTGTTTTATTTTGCTACCTGAGGTATCAGTGCAGACATTTTTTCACAACAGTACTTGAGAAGAAAGAAAACAGACTGAAATTCAAAATGTCCATGTATCCCTGTCTTTGAGCCAACGATGTACCAAATATCACAGACATATGCAAGTACACAAGTAGCACACAAAGCTACTAAACCAGCCATCTCCCTTTGATTTGGAAACTTCAGGTGTATAGTGAAGCTTAGCTGCTGAATGCACCCTGACTAAAAGCCATCATGTTTCCATTCGTCACTGTTGCAGGCAATAGATGTTTCAGCTTAAATTGACTGCATTGAGTGTAAATATTTCCACACACGTACATCAGAAATCGAATAAGAACTTCTCCCAATATATGAAAATGAGCAGTTTAGGTTTGCATCTTGAGACTCGTACAAGGCACCTGAGCACCAGAGCATCTGCAAATTTAACACATGAATGTAAACACACTTGCTGAACACGTCCTCAACCGTCTGACTTTTAAACGCACAGAATCAGCTGCTCAGCTTGGAGTGCGCTACAAACATGAGATGACACATTCATCCTCTAAACAACATGAGATCTGCCAGGCACGTGTTTGGTTTGGCAAGATAAATATTTCACCTTTCCCTTGGTATTCCTCACCCTCTCCTGTTTACAGCATATTGACAGAAAAAGAAAAGGGAGACATTATTGAGAGTGTTTAAAGTAACAACATTCTTTACCCTGCTGCCTTTTAAAAAAGGGGTTATATTTTTAAAAAAAGACAAACTGATGTATCACGTACACTTCAGTATAAAGAGTACAAAGCCATTTTTACAGGTCTGTCTCTGAGATGAACAGTGACGGGTGAACATTTGATTTACAGCACCTCAAAAGTGACCAGAGATAATCATCAAACAAGCAAATTTAGAACCGACTTAATATATTTAATTGGGGCCATGTTTATAACACCATGACTTATGCTGTGTTCACAAGCGATCAGGCAGTCGGTAGACGGCAGATGGACAACACAGAAATGAAAGTGAAACGAAACATGAATGCTGATATTTTGTGATGATGATGCCATATTTTTTTCAAAAAATGGAATAAAACATATTAAGCAACATCATTCAAGTTTATTATTTTTTGTAATTTTTCTTTTAATGTCAATTGATGTCCAGATCATACTTTTTCACCTTTTGTGAAGAAGCAACATCCAGTTGAAAATCCCGTCATGTGGGACAGCGAAAGTTCAGATATTTAAATCTTGAACGGCAATGCCTTCTACCTTTACCCGTATTCTCTGCCGGCCTCACCTAATTTATGGTTCTGCTCTTCGTTAAAGTGATATCCAGTTTGCCCTCTACCGTCTACGTGATTCCCGTGAACGCCACATTGGTGCTTAATGTTGAGAAAAGCGAATATAATTTAAATACAACAGGTTACACATGTTCTTGAGCTGCCGTCTTAAAATAAAGACAAATAATCAGTTATCAATTCACAACTTTTGTTGACTGTACTTTTTACATTAAGGTGAAGACTTTTAATAATCCAGCAATGTCAAGAAGGTGATTTCGATTACTAAACATGTAGTGAAATCTCTACAGTGTGGTGAGTTGATTAAAAGTTTTTACAAAAAATAGAAATAAATATGGCACAGAAACTCATGAGACTGTGGCAACACTGATGAAGAAATGCACTTTTGGATCACTGAAACCATTTAAAGATTATCAGATTAAAAGTTCTTGTCACTCTTCGTAAGTTTTATTCTCTTTGTGAATATGGTCTCGCTGTTAAACTGTAACAGCATTGAAATTAATTTACTTGCTGATGATTCAAGCTCTGGGTCTGAGGCACTAGTTTATGGTACGTTGTATGATGTGTGCGTATATGTGAGGGGCGGGACGGGGGGATTTATTACTGGGTGGATGACGTGATGAAAAGAGGGGATGAAAAAACTTTAGCTGACAGACTTCAGCTTGGACCATGGGTTTGTTCCGCGCACCTCCAGGGGTGAATCGTTGGAAAATATATGGTTGCACAAATCCTCCAGAGGGGGTTCAGGATCTGTGGTGGCAAACTGGGCAGCATCTTCAATTTCCTTCCTCACTGCCACATCGATATCCTACGGACACAACACAGGTAAGACAGAAAGTTAGAGCAATTTGTGTATGACATTAACAGTACACATGCTACTGAATTACTGCTATTGTTCAATTAGGAAAAATAAATACAGCGAATTGTCTAAGTATTAGTCTGCTACATTAGAACTAGAAAATGTATGGTATAAGAATACTTGATGTGCTCAACCAGGTATATTGCTTGGCCGTGCATGAGACTGTTTGTACTGAAGTGTTTTAAACTGTAACACTTAAACTGGTTGACCAGCACAACTTATTGTTGTTAAATACGGCCACAGTTACTTTAATTTATGAACAATGTTCGCCTTTTTATGGATTCTCTGTTGATTGTAGAGGCATACGAGAAAAACAAAGTTGTCGAAACAAATTCAAGGTAACATGCAGTGAATAATTAATATACAAATGGTTATACAAATGGTAAATGCAACTTGGTGTTTGATAATCCTTGTCAACTACAGTACTTGTGTGTGGTGAGGGTGATGATGATACAGAAGCTGAAACCAGTGAAAGTAACACTCTCCTATGTTCAGACAAAGCACTGCAGCTTTTTGTGTGACCTCCTTAACAATGTCTTTAACCTCAAAAGACGACGGCAGCTCCATGGTTTTCTAAAATGCGAAATTCTGTCACAAACTTGTTATATACTTTAATCACAACCAGCCTATTAAGTGCACTTGACTGTCTCAAGAAACTGACTATAAACCTGAATCTATTTTTACAATACTGTATTGCTTCTGTTTTATAAATGCAACAGCGTACATGTAGGTGTTTTGCACTATGTTGTTTATGTGGTTTGCTGCATTCATGACCACCTCAGGATGTTAGCTTAATAGTTCAGTAGTGTGTGGTTTCAGTTCCATTACCCCAAATATGTTTCGATTCCGGCCATTAAGGGAATCATCACAATAAAATATGCTTCTCTCTCTTTGTGATTTTGTTCTTAATGCATTTTTGGAATAACTACAATCGACTAGCTTGTTAAAAACACATGGCGAGACTCCTGGATTAATGAGGTTTCAAAATATAATGGATGATACCAATATGCAGATTTTTTTTCAGTGGGCAACAGCACTTTTTCATTTTACAAGCTGAAAATATTTTCTACCTTGAGCTCCTCCACGCTGGCCATGTTGTTGCTGAGCATGCGGTCCTTCAGCATGGAGATGGGGTCACTCTTACCACGGACTTCCTGGATCTCCTCACGTGTACGGTAGCTGAGAGGGGAGAGATTGGTGCAGGGATGTTGTAGGGATGCACTAATACAATCATGTTTTTTAGAGCTGACACCAAATCCAAATTCTACAACTTTAAGGGGACATATTATGCTCACTTTACTGTTCATACTTGTATTTTGGGTTTCTATTGTTAACATGCTTTAATTTTCTAAAAACACTACATTTTCCTCATATTGTCTGTGCTGGAACACATGTCTGTAATGCTCCACTTAGTGCCTACCAAAAAATGTCTACTCTGATTGATCAGCGTTTGGAAGCATTTTCTACTGTGAAAAATAACCAAAAAGGCTAAACTAAAATCTTCAGAACTGGACATGTTCCAGCAGGAATATGATCAGACACTGAGGAGAAATTAACAACATCAGCAACCAAGCTTACACGTTTCTCTGACATTAGCATGTAGCTACACGTAGCAGTCTAAGCTATGTAATGTGAATACTTGCAGTAGCGTGTCTGAAACAGATGAACATATAAAGAAATCTGTCACGAGCTGACGTCAGCTTGACTTGACTAGTAGAAAAAATATTGGAAACAAAGTGTTCCCAATGGTCCCAATGGTCTGTGAGCTACATCTGTGGATGTAGCTCACAGGGATTATTTTTACATGCGTCTACATTCAATATTTAAGACTCTGACTATGTTTAATATAAACATCTGACACTGTAACACTATATATGCGACAGAAAATAAGGAAAAGCATAATAGGTCCCCTTTAGGTACTTTTAAATCGTGATCACCAGCAGTACATTACTTTCACTAACCATAATCAGTATAAAGATAATAGATTAGCGTGTTTACATTTCTCATTAGAAGTTTGAGAAATCCATCCTGTTATATTTAAACCAGCCATTCATCTGCTAAAGCCAATAGCAATGTTAGAGTGTGAGTTCAGTCCATCCCTGGGCTGTGCAAGGCCTCTACGGAGGGGAGGAGGGTACATGAAGACTACTGAGGGACAGTGGTAGAAGCAAGGGGCAGCGGCACAGTGAGGGTAAAATTTGTAGGTCAGATTATTAATAATGCATAAATAGAATTACTACCACATTAATTAAAAAGTGATTAAAAGATAATCAAGAAACACTAAAGGTAAGCAGTTACAGAAAATTATTTGAACTGTTAATAAATTAAAATTTGCAAAGGTCTGTAACTGTGATCATTTACCTGACACCAGGATCGCTCATACTGTGTCCATGATAGCGGTAGGTCTGAAGCTCCATGAGAATGGGACCCTGATGAAAAGCAGAACAAAAATAACTCAGCTGAGACACTGACGACCACGTGTCCTGGTTGATGTAGTTCAGTGTTTCCAACTCACCTTGCCAGCTCGGCAGTGATCCGCTGCAAACTTGGTTGCTTCCCTGACACACAGAACATCCATCCCGTCCACCTAGAAGACAAAAAAATCAACACTGCATCGTATCATGATATTTTGGCAATGTTGTATCAATGCACAGATGCCAAATATCCATTTTTTTAATTATATAAATTCTTTATGTTGTAATACAAATTCAACTTTTGGTAGCCTACTAGAGTAACAATTGCCTTTTCAGTCCACTTAATACATTTTGCTGCAATAAAAATGACTGAAGTGAGATGAACACACTAAAACGTTAACAGATAAAACAGATGCTGACAAAGTTTTCTTTCAGGGACATAATTTGCAGTTGAAAAAAGGTCATATATCACAATATGGCTGCAACTAACCCTTATTGTAATTGCTGATTAATCTGTCGATTATTTTCTCAGTTAAGTGATTTGTTGTTTGGTCTATAAAATGTCAGAAAATGGTGAAAAATGTTGATCGGTGTTTCCCAAAGCCCAAGATGATGTCCTCAAATGTGTTGATTTGTCCACAACCCATAGATATTGAGTTAACTATCATAGAGAAGTAAAGGATCTACAAAATATTCACATTTAAGAAGCTGAAATAAAAAATTTAGAGTTTATTTTCTACAGCAATACTCAAAAATATTAATCAATCATAAAATTAGTTGGCAATGAATTTATTAATGGACAACTAATTGATTAATCATTGCAGCCCTAATCACAATATATCGCAGTATATGTTACCCCAATAATCAGTATACCACAAAATGTTTAAAATCACAAAAATATTGTATCGTGAACTAAGTATCATATCGTGGGGCCTTTGGCAATTCCCACTCCTAGCACTAGGTATGCATCATATTCCATTTCACTTATTTAGTGGTCACTTTTTTTCCAAGGAAATGTCATAATGTTTTTCTAACCCCAGATATCTTGTTCACATTAAAACACAGCTGTGCAATAATATAGAAACAACATATATGTATTCTGTTATAGTCAGTTTTATCAGTGGGGGGAAAAAAGGTTTAAAGACAGAAGTAAGATCAGTACCCGCAGACCAGGAATGAAGTCTCCTCTCTTGTAATAATCCGTGCTGGCAGCAGCTCGCTCCACTGATGTGCCCATGCCATACCTGTTGTTCTCACAGATGAAGATGGCGGGCAGCTTCCAAAGTGCTGCCATGTTGTAGGTTTCAAAAATCTGACCCTGTGAAATAAAAATAAAAAAATGATTTATTTTAAGGTGGCACGAAGACATGTTGGCTCTTTGTTTTGCTGACCTTGTTAACTTAAATTAGAAGTACGTAGCAAAGTAGATATTCTGTTAAAGTCAGTTTATGTAGACAGCTTAGGAAGGGTCTCACACAGTTGCTAGTCCAATGTCCTAATGTTTACAGGCCCCAGATGACCACAGATGAACAGATGCTGATGGAGTACACTAGTAAAATATAAACCATTCATTACTGGAGAAAGAATGTTTCCTACTTTTGAGAGAAGCTGATATCAATCCCATTAAGTAATTACATAAAGCTTGGCCAAAACTGCAGTAATTTCTGTGCCATACCTGATTGGCAGCACCGTCACCATAGAGACAGACACACAGCTCGTCCGTGCCCAAATACTTGCAGGCCAGAGCCACACCCGCACCTAGGGGAACCTGAGGAGAATTCAGAGATGTCTCGGGTTACATTGTGTGAATCTTAACGTATGAAACACTTGTTTAAATATTACAAGAAGCTGCTTCATGAAACACAAACTCTTACAATTGTTTTTTTGATATGTTTGGCACTAACATAAATCAAAAGTCTAGGTGATGCATTGAGCTGAGAGCAACTTATGTCATAAGAAAACACATCATATTAAGAAGTTCTTCTTGGTTTCTTGAATGATATTTCTAACAGCAGCAGGCCGTTATGAAATACACAGGCACAAATAAGTATGTTTCTCACCTTCCTTTAGTACCACTATATTTCCACAATATCAGAAAACACTATCAAAGCAGACCGACAAGTTAAACCTGCATTCAGCCCTTTGAAGACTTATCACAATGACACCAAACTGACAGCATACTGGTCGGACATGGCACAAACACACACAAACTAAATCATGAACTGACCACTTTGCTTTCAAAAAGCCTGCAGTAAACTTTGCTGATATACCTGAGCTCCGACAATCCCATTTCCTCCATAGAAGTTTTTACAGTACATGTGCATAGAGCCTCCTTTGCCCTTTGCAATACCTCCTTTTCTGCCTGTAAATTGAGAACAAAAACATGCATGGGTGTGACATCAGAGGTGAAAGCAATACAAAAGAACTATTTGCATCTCAAAATAAACTGTGATTGGAACTGAAAATGATCTTGAAATTCAAAATTCTCAGCATTGCAAACTCACCGGTGAGCTCAGCCATGATCTCCTTCACAGTCCCTCCTCTGGTGTAAGTGTAGCCGTGGGCGCGGTACGCGGTGATCAGGTGGTCTGTCAAATTAATTCCTGCTTCAATACCAACCGCACAGGCCTCCTATGAGGAGAAAACAAACAGCTTGACATGACGTCTATGTGAGCGTACACGTGTGGACACTTCCCAATCTAGGCAAACTTTACTTTTCTGCCATTTAATATTCTTCCCACAGCAGCACATATACATAATTTCTATAATACTGAAGTCAAACTCTGAACTCAAATTCTTAATGCACAGTATAGAAAATAATTATAGCGCACTCCACCTGTCCGTCATACAAGTGGCAAAATCCTCTGATGATCTTCTGCTTGTACAGCTGATCTGCTTTGAGCTCCATACGCCTCATGGTCTGCATGACGCGGTAGTACTGCAGACCCTCATCACGAGTCATCACCACCTGAGTGGCGGGACCCTCATCCAGTTTGTGGAGGTCACATTTCTGAAAGGGAGAAAACACCCATAATAACACACAAACTGCCTCACGCATGGATCTGTTTAGCAGAAAATGCAACTTGGTGTTTGAAGCTTACCTTTATTTCAAAAGAAGCCTCGGTTGTGAAGTCAGAATATGTGCGTGCTGACATGACCACTGCAGCTCCCTGCCATGAGAGAGAGAAGGAGTTTAAAAACAAACAAACAAATCTGCTCAGGTTTGATATTGACAGAGACGCAGTGCCTGCTTTTCTGTTTGTTTTTCTACAAATCCTTTTTTTCCCATTTAACAAAATAAGTCATACACTGTCATTCATTAAATGTTGTCTAAACACAAGCAGCTATACAACAGCTTTGTCCAAAGAAAATAGTCTAAACTTGGCAAAGTATCTATTAAATATGACCGAAAGTAAGTAAACAACATTAATAATCAGTATTAGCTTTCACTGCTTGACAAGTTTTGACACTGTGTTGACACCAAAGTGCACTGGGGTTCGATTCCCACACCTAAAATCTGCTACTGTTTAGTAAGACATAATATTTGGGTAACCAGCAGAGCATAAATAGACACTGCTTCTGACAGAACACATGCAAAGGTGTTAGTTGCAAATAAAAGTCCTATATAATATTACTAATAGACCTATGCATATTCAACTCCAGTCAGTTTTGGATAACATACAGTAGAGAGTTACACAATACCTGTCTTGCCCAAATTGCAACAATCTCAACACAGTGAAATACCTATAATTACATAATTATAAACTTGTCTTCTCAAGTTTATTTCCTATTCAGTCCACAGTCCAGCCCAAATGCTGGGCAACCAACTCCAGTGGTTAGTCATCATGGTGTTAAATCATATTATAGTTACTTTATGTAACTGAATGAAACCATTTGACAGTTTATTAGGAAGCCCTCCCCCCCCCATCTGACAGGAGGAGTTTACATAGAAGTTACTAATGCTAACTTAGCTGCCAATTTTGATTCACTGCACCCAGTGTGAAAACACAGCCCCGACTCCATAATGACAACAAAAGAGCTTAATAACACGAAATGCATGGAAAATAAATAACTGGGTCTCTCTTTACCAAAACACTGAAGCTGTCATAAGGAGTTTAGGTTTTGTGCAGACTGTGACATTTTTATTAGCTGTGTTAGCCAAACAAGCTATCACTCGGCCTGACAAGGTCAGAACAGCGACAACAGTCAAGTTTTGGGTAAAAGTTGGCGGTCTTAGAGGCAGACTGTAATGATGTGTGTGGCTGAAACCGCCCATAGTTTAAATTCTGTTTACTTACATTTCTCTGAGCGCAAGCCCTCAGCACGTTAGAGATATTGGTCAGCATCTTTACCGAGCTAGCTCACCACAGACCCGACACCGCACGGCTCCGTCCTTCTGTCAGGCTCTGTCCTTCCGGCTCCGTTCACTCTTCTTCTTCTCTGTCTTCAATAACGGCAGAAAAAAAAAACTCTGCTGCTACCACTCCCCCCTGTGGCCAGTATGTGACAACACATGTATGAAAGAATAGATTTAAATAAATAACCAAATAAATAATCAATAATAACAAAAAACAACAACAGCAATAGTAATAATAATAATAATAATAATAATTTGCCTTTATCAACCTGTTTTTTTATTTAAATGTTTTTTTGTTTTCTTTTACTCTGAATTAAAATCCATTATGTAGGTTTTGATTAGATTTTCATTTGGATCTCTTTTGGCTAATCTTACCTCTAACCCTAACCCTAACCCTAACCCTATCTTACACATTTAATAAGGGTAACAAATTACAAAATATTTTTTATGATATACAGGCAATGCATGAACAAATAGTATTTTTGTTCGCCAATGCTACATGGTGACTTTACTTCAATTAGACCCCAAAGAGATTGTACTCCCTGTTGAACTGTTAAAACCTTAATCCTAATAGACTCATTTGGGATTTGTGTAAAAACAACTGTCTACGTCAATCACAGAAGCACAAATCCATTAAATTTAATCATGTTTTACAGCTGGTATCTCTGTCACTCCAGACAGATGTAATGTTTAGGGTACAACTGAAACATGTAGTGACTTAAAAATCGTGTTCATAAGAAAGTCTCACAAAATTTGTGTGAAGTGAAGCATTAAAAGAGCTATATGTAAGAAATCTAAAGCAAATAGTCATAAAATCCTCCTAATATGTCACAGAGACTAAGGAATAATGTTCATATAACATACTGATCTCACTGACAACAATAGTACAGCCAGAATATTCGCATTTAAAGAAATATTTCACGGTCCGCAAATCATGTTTATGTTTTGAATTTGTGTTTTGGCCTGTTGCGCCACCCACCGCCGTCTACCAGTCATGCAGTCAGTAGAGTCTCAGCATCAGTTAAAGTTACGACTGAGCTACAGCAGCACGGCAAGCAGCATTAGCAGTGTCCCGGTACATAGCATTAGCAGCCAGCTCCTCTGCTGTATCCCTGCAGCAGCGTTAGCAGCAGAGAAGCTGGACTTGCTTGAACAGTCCGCTGGAAAACAAATCAGTCTCCAGCGTGTCACTGTCCAGCAACCTCGAATCTGTAGGGGAGGGGGGGCGGACACGACTCGCGGCAGTATTTTGAATTTGAGTGCAGTAACCGTTTTGGCCACATTCTTACATACAGCGCCTTTAAGATGATAGATCGAGTTGTTAAAGAGGACCCAAGTCCTCGAAGGGAGCTCAACCTGAGCTATTGTGCTAACCAGTTGTGAAAATTCTGCCACTGGAGAAACTGTACCATATTCTGTAACCCATCAGATTCTGTGACCTGATTAGGGATTTCAGAAATGAGGGTCACACAGGCTGAAGCTCTGTCTCTTTGACATTTTTAAAGCTTCAGTTTATAATGGTGAATATTCTAAAATAAATTTATTATCTGACCCACAACAAAACATAAGGTACTTGCTTAAGTTGTTTTTTGGGACTGTAGGCAAAATAAAATAAGGCTGCCATGTGTAGTCTGCAGTATGCACTTAAGTTGATGGCCACTTAAAGATTATGTTACATTCAGTGAGTGCACAGAGAGTTGGAAGAAGGGGGAGGACGTTGGGGCCCACAGCTTTTTGGGACCCTAAACCACTGCAAAGGCTTTTATCATGGTCATATTATCAAAATAGCTGTTACTCAAAATGGTGAAAATATGTCACCCTACATGCTATAGGGTCACAAAGCTGCGATAGCAAAAACTAGTGTTTAGATCTATGCGTGCATCAACCCTATCCAACCCATGAGACTTTTTTCATTCATGGCTTCAGTGGTGCCTGAAGAATTTTTTCATGGGGTGGCCAGATGGTGCCATTGAAAATCTTGGAGTGACACACCAAAGCCAAAAGCCATAACTGAATTTCAGGAATTCTATCATGCTGTTGAATTATATATGCTAGTTGAAAACTGTCAATATGAGAGTTAAGGAACTGCACACTAATAAACTTCTGTTTCTTATTTTACAGTTCATATGACTAATTATCTGATGTGCGTACTGGTACAGTTAACATTATGATTTTCACAACAATCCTGTTTCAGTGTGTTGTGTATCTATACTGTTAGGCGATTAATTTTTCTTCAGAGAGGCTGATTGTCCTTTTCCTTAAAAAGACAAATACACAGCTTACATGTGAATGATTACATTGATTGTAAGAAACAAACCTTTACTTGGAACAAGCCTTCTCAAATTTAGGGGAGACTCGTGGGTATCGACATAAGCCATTTTCATTCAAATATCCTGATGTGAGAGTTCAAGGAACCCCTTTAAAATGGCCATGCCAATTGTTCCCTCACCAAAAATATATATAAACACAGAAATGTTGCTGAGAGGGGGAGTGGGGTGGCCAGCTATTGTATCAGCAACATGTTCTCATTCCAACTCGTCAAACATCGCTGTTTTATCAGTCTACAGAGTTAGTTGCTTATTTGACAAGGACAAATGCATAAAACATTGCTTCATATAGTATGTAAAATACAAAGCAGATGCATTGCATACTGGTTTCAAGTCATGGCTAATTTGTAACTCCAGTCCCTGTTTGGAATTTTAGAAAACAGGAAGTACAGGATTACTGAAGTAATACAATACAATAATAGTCCTGCATCTGCTGTAAACATTCTGGGATGTCGTGTCAATTTGCACTTGTTACATGCATTGTGTCTTTTGAAAATGCACTTCTGTTTTCACAGGGAATGTAAAGTTTCTGCTTGTTAGATGCAGAACAGTCTTTTTCAGAATAAACTTATAATGTTGGTAAACCACCTCAGATTTACATTTATTTTCTTGTGCAACAAAAGCACAAGGTCAGGTTTAGGGAACAAAACCATGTGGTTAGGTTTAGAAAAATAGATCATGGTTTGGCAGAACAGCAGACTCCTGGGTAAAAGTCAGGGGTTCATCCACTCCTCTGCTGTCCGCCATGTAGGGACTTTCCAGCTCCTTATTTTTAACGCCACCTGGCAGCGTATCATAATGCAGTGAAAGATGCCTTTTTGCATTAGTGTCTGAAGCTGAAATCTCTGCCAGATTTTCCGCAAATGTTGGGCCGTTTTGCCTGCAAGCTGCGAGTGTTTAGACACACAGAGCCGGATTGGCGAGTTGATCCGAGATGCCCAATTTTCCGCCTCGTAGGGTAGTCATATTGGCAGAACCCTTTTAGTTTAAAAAGACCGAGGCGGCCTTCCACAACAGGAGGGGCTGTTGAAGACTTGTGGGAGGAGCTGTTAATGACGCCACACGTGCGACCTACTGGTGGTAGATAAACAGGAAACAGCTGATAGCAGGAATTAGTGAGCAGCTAGTAGCAAGAGGGAAACGCAAACCTGACAGACACTGTAAAGATGAGCAACTGGGGAGACAAGGAATTGCGCGCCCTCCTTGTCCTCGCAAACGAAGAGGCCATTAACAGTCAGATGATGTGGATGGTGAAGGACGGGCCAACTTACGAGAGAATCGCAGAAGGACTGACTAGCCGCGGCTTCCCTCCCACGTCACTGTTTACGTCACACGCTGAGCTACACGTTTTGTTACTTGCTCACACCCCCCATTAAACAAAAGGCAGCATTTTGCCACACTTCCCGATTTTGTTTTTATACTGCCAATGCTGAAAGACAACTGATTGGACTTTCCTGCAAATTTGCCCAATTCCTATCTAAAAATAGCTAATCACTGGCAATATTTGTTTAGCTAGGAATGAGAACAGGTTGGTATCAGGGTGGCCAAGGCCCCCCTTACCCCCCTTGGGGACGCCACTTCATGGCTCTCCCACATTGATCTTTTCAAAAATACAATCAGACAATCAATGCCACATAGTAACTGTAATTTTAATGAAATGTTCAGCAAAATTATATAAATCTAATTTTACAAGACATCTAAGCCTCCAGGTGAGATGTACGAGTGAGGGGAACTGATTAAGGTTTCTATCTATTTTTAATAGCATCTAAACGATTGAGATGCCATAGAAAACCAACATCCTAATCCCTAAAGCATTTTATCAGCCTCTGAACATGATGTGAAATGGTTAACCTTCTGTTTATTATGATAAAATCAAGTCAGTATTTGTTGCATATTTTGCAGTTTCGTCCTATAGGAAAGCACGCACTGATTCTGCGTGTTGTCCCTCTGCCTGTTCCTGCATTAAAGTCAGCTAAATTTGGTTTGGACCCGGCTGGGCAGCGTGCAGAGAAGACCTCTCCCCCATCTGCCGGTAATGTGTTGATAGCCTGTGTATCAGGGCGGGCTTACGCTGCGACGCACACTGTGGTCGGTCGTTGGTAAACTCGATTGTGTGCGCATCATCTTCTCTGCTCCAGCCTCAGCATCTCTCTCCTCCAACCATCCATCTACAAACGACTCTCCCGTCCTGCCCATCATCTCCAGCCTTCATAATGACCTTCACGCCATCCATTTGAATGGTGCGTGGTTGCTTTTGTCCGCTGTGGCTGCGCTTATTGCTGCTGCCGTGGAGGGAAACGGATACCTGTGCTGCATTGGTATCACTGCAGAGTGTTTCTGGTGACAGCAGCACGTCCGTACATTTGGCTGTATTGTGCTTGTGACAGCTACCATGGCGAAAACAGTCGCACCATCCAGTCCAATAACAGGTAAGCTTGGTGTAACGTTTGTTGGGCTCGGTATCATCACGCTATCGGGCTGTGTTGTTGTGTTTGCGCCGCGATTTGAAGCAGACTCATGAATGACGCAATTGACATTTCCACTGCTTTATGTGCGTGATGCCTGCTGTGCAGTCATGATTCGGCGTCACTGTTTTGTTTATGCGCTTTAAGGCCTTTTTCCAGTGGATGCAGGGCTAAAAAGTATATTTTTATTGCCTTTAAAGCAAACCTAAAATACCTAGGCCTATTTTTATTAATTATTATGAATGAAAGCGACCAAAACAGATCTGTTTTTTGAA